AGCTTGGATTAAAGATTGCGGCTCGGGGAGGCGGCGGGGGATGGGAAAGATCAGGGCTCGGTATAGCCCCTAACCCCTAAACCCTATAAACCCTACATCCTTAATCAGCAGAACTGACACCCAAATGCCTGCACATGCCCCGCCCCTCCATCATCCAGAACAATCTGGCGAGCCTAGAACCCTAAACCCTAAACCCTAAACCCTAAACCCTGAACCCTAGGCGGGGGCTCACCTTGGGGGGGGGGGGGGGGGGGGGGGGGGGGGGGGTGGGTGGTTAGGGAGTGGTGGTGGGGGGAGGGAAAGGGAGAACGCCAGGTAGAACCGGGGTTGAGGGTTGAGGGCTTAGGGTGTGGGGTTGCGGGTGTAGGGATTGACCTGTATAACTGGTATAGGGCTTAAGGCCTCTACACCATATGAGTCCTGCATAAGACCACAGCTTAATTAGGCATGTCTGCAAAATTTCGACCGTAAACCGTAAACCCAAAACCCCGAGCATGCTCCTTTTTGAGCACGAAGCCCCTTGCGGCCCGCAGCCGGAAGGTCTAACTAAATTGGCCTCCCGTCGCTCTGAAGAGAGTTGGAGGGCTTCACAACAGTTCAGGGGTGAGGGATATCAGGGATTAGGGTTTAGCGTTTAGTATGGTTTAGGGTTTAGGACTACGGGACTCGCTTTCTTAGTGGGTTATGCCTGCTAATTAAAGGGTAGTTACTACTAAACTGTAGGCTCCCAGGTAAGTGAGTGCGGGATACCATGCATAGTTTGTGACGTTCCCCCTTGTACGAACAGTCCTTGATGGGGAAGAAAAAAAGGAGGGTACTGCAATCCCTCTTAAGGACTGTTAGTATGGGGAACAGCCCAATGCATGTAGTATGATGTGTAAATCAACAGGTACACCTATACATAATACTTCTATGCTGGTATGTGTTATAGTTAGTGTCACGAAAGTGTTCTCTTAGATTATGGTGCACCAAACCGTATCAGCGTCCCGCCCGAACCCCTTGTCCAGACCCTTTTGAACCCTAAACTAAGGTTTTAGGGTCTAGGGTTTAGGGTTTAGGGTTCCGTCCTTTTAGGTTATCCCAATTTTTTGTATAGCCAGAGCTCGGTAGATATTGGGCAAGACTTCATGTCATGAACTTGAACAAATCTCCGCAGTGGTACCCAGAACGCCCTCATATGTTCTGTCCTCGACTCTCCTGTAACCCTATAGCACAGACATGGACCTTCTTTTTGCTGGAACAGACCAGGGAACCTGAAACTAAACTAAGAAAGGGGCACTTGAGGTCGTAGTATAAGGCAAAACCCCTCAATCCCCAAGCTCTACACCACAACAATCCTACAACCCAAAACGTAAGGACAACTACCCGAATCCACCCTTGAAGCCCAGAAACCCTCCATGCCTCACAACCCTAAACCCTTAATCCTATAGCAAAAACAACCTACCACACCGAGAGGCTAAACCCCCAAGCCACCAACAAGCCTAAAGCCTTATTCTCGGTAGTAAACCCTAAACCTTAAACCCTAAACCCTTAAACCTTAAACCCTAAACCCTAAACCCCAGTTGTTTGATGGGATATACCGCACAAACAGTGAACAAGGCAAACAGAGTGAAGACGTACTGTTTTACCTTGAGCCAAATAGTCAAGTCGGGTTTACAACATGACTCTCCAGATACTGTACAGGAGGGTGTGTTTACCTCTGTTTTCTCAACTCCCCCCTTCTGGAAGTCTATGTTGTGCAACGTTGAGGGTAAGTGTCAAAGCAACAGCGTAACTATGCAACTTAGGGATTCTACTGCCCCTATTGCAAGCTTCAACTCAACTCTGTGTTAGAGGAGGAAGCTACACACGGTCCTTGTCAAGGGCGAGGCGTGTGAAAGCCCGCATCCCTTAGCAGTTGCTGGTCATGCCACTGTAGGCTGTTCCAACCACGCGGCGTGTAAGCAACAAGCACGACTCGGTGTGCCGACAGTCCCTGCCAGGGAACAGTGCAGTGCTTTCGGGAAGGCTTGAAGGAAGCTGGCAGGTGAAGGATGCGACCAGGGAGGTTGCAGTCAAACTGCGGGCACTGGTCCTCTCCATCTGAATCTTGAACCCAAACGCCTCCACCGATCACCTGCGTGATTGGCAGTACGAGATTGTACGAGTCAGGCTCGTTCCACTGGTCACTGTGGAGCTCGGTCTTTTGGCCGCGGAACAAAGCAACTGCGGTAAACGTGTGGTTCCTACGCTGCTGTCTTACAAACCGTGTTAATACCTTTGCAACCTCAGGGAAAAGGCGGGTATTATTCCTAATACCAACTATACCACCTCCATGTGCGTAGGCGCCGACAGAGAAGCAATGCGTCTCAGGAGTCTCTGGGGCTCGGCTGGCACCATCATGGGGAAGAAGCGAAAGCAAATGCAAGATGTGGTATTCTTCAACGCGGCCGGCGAGGCACGCAGCCCGCAGCCGCACGCGGATCTGGCAACTCAAGAGCATCAGCAGGGAAGGCTCTTGCTGCCTGTGCAAATGCTTTGCTGGCGGTAGGCAGGAGGCAAAGCTGGGTAAGGACTAAAGGCCATTCCTGAGGTGAAATGACTTTAGTAAACCCGTTAGCCCTTTGAAGCTTGGTACTACAGTATGTGGCTTGGACACGATCTTCGGCGAGTCTTTCGCAGATAGAAGCAACATTGACTCTATGAACCCTGTTCATATGTCTAAGCTTAGCGCTATACCCTGCCTTAAGGATAGCTAAGACAGTCTCATTGTCTTGCTGGTAAGACACGGACACGTCTGCATTGAGCAAAACCTCAAGGTACGCCTGCAAGTTCTCAACCTCGGAGAACATGGCCGTAGCAAGGGCAATCGTCTCAGCTTCGGTTGTGCTTCTGGCAGTTGAAGACTGTTTCTTCGACAGCCAGTGGACTGGGAAATAAGAGTCGCCAGTACGCAGCATGATGATGATGCCTGTTGTGCTTTTGGCTGTGTAGGGACACGAAGCAAAATCGGCATCTGTAAACACTTCAATGCTGCAAGCGAGGTCAGTTTGCGAAACTTCTCCCCGCAACGTAAGGTGTGTGGTGTGGTGCAGGTACGAAATGCACCGCATCAACTGGCGATCCTCAAACTTAGTCCACTTAGTTACCCTAGACGCTAACCTGGTGATCGCAAACGACAAATCCGGGCGAGCAAGGCGGCTCAGCCACAGACCACGCATGAGAATGCGAGAAGCAACGTGACGCAACTCACCTTCGGTTTCAAGGTCAGCATCTGTGAGCTGGTTCTCTGGGTAACATGGGGACGGAAAGTTGCGGAGCTTCTCTTTTGTGACGCCGGCGACCTCACAGTAAAACTCGACAAGCTGAGCTGCGTACGAGCGCATGTCGAACTCACAGGTCGCTGGGCTAACGCCTGGCGGTGTGTCACGCGAAAAGCTATGGTGTCTACCTAATATACGACAACCCTTATCACCTGACTCTACGTAGACCTCTGGGTCGAGTTTCACCCGGGCTCTCAGGGAGTGCCAAAACTGCTGGTGCAACTCGGCGGGGCCGCTTAGGGTAAGGTCGTCTACGTAGATGTTAAGGATTAGGGTCTTACCGTTTAGGTGGAACAACCAGTTAGAGGGGTACTCGGGACATTCTTTGCCTCCGAGTTCGCGCAGGTGGCGTTCTAAGAACTGTTGCCACCGACGGCCAGACTCAGGGTGGCCGTAAAGGGACTTGAGCAGGCGGACGACGAGCTTGGTACCTGGCGGGTACTTGTCGTGCCATGAAGGCAACCAAAGCTCTGGTGGGATGACTACCCACGTGCCATCGCCTATCAAGGCTTGGAGGTAAGCCTGGACTGCGTCAGAACAAGAAGTTGCGTGACCAGGTCTTAGGCCGTAGAATAGGGTAACCCCCAATCCAACAAGGCCTGTAGGCGTTGTAGCGGTGTCGTCGAAGAACACTTGGTTCCCGCTTGCGTCGGTTATGTAGTCTCCTCTATAGACTATGCGTCCCTTATACTTGTGGTGTTGTGGTCCAAGCTCGAAGTGCTTGATACCACACAGTGTGAGCAACTCTGCGATCTTGATCTTCTGACCGGTCTCGCGGGACTCCTTGCGGAGTTGCCACAAGGGGCGGACGCTTTCGTCATCCCAAGTTTGGTTGTTTCGAAGACCTTCGGCTTCTTTCTGCACTGAGCTAACGCCCTGTGCATCTTTGAGCCATTCGCTTTTGCTCAGGTTCTTCGTAACAAGCGCATTGGTTGCACACATCGCAGGAACACTGCGATAAAACTGTTGAGGGAAGAGAGCTTCGATCACAGTGTTTGCGAACTGCGGGGTGTAATGGCCAGTGCTCTTGGTGACAGAGCCTTCTGCTTGTTCATGCTCGTGGTTTCTTGAGCATTGGTGCTGGCCAAACAACTGCAGTACTCTTAGGGAAGTGGTGGAGATAGCCCAAGGTTTCTTGATGAGCTTCTCCTTGCCCTTTACGCCTAAGGAACAACCGTGAAAGTACACCCTTCTTAGGTTAAACCTCTCTTCAAACTCTAACCACAAAGGTTCCTGCCAAAGTTCGTTGTTGGCAGGCCACTCAAAGCTTACGTGACCCCCCTGCTCTAGTATGTGGGCTGCAACTTGAAGCGCAAGGCCTAGCATCACACGCGTGTGCTGCTGCCGTTTCTTGAGCTTAGCTACGTACTTTGCACCATGCCTGTGTGTGTTCATACGTTGCCATGGGCAGAAGTGCGTACAAGGCAAGCTAAAGTGACCAAAAGCTCCAGGTTTGAGCTGGCCAATTACTTGCTCGACGTGGGAGGGCTCAGCAAGGTCAAGTGTGGACTCGGTGAGCCGTAGACAGTCAACGCTGTGCATCATTGCTGCGAGGCCTATCTCACTATCATCGTCACAGCAGTACTCCACAAGTTGGTTCTTTCCGGGCAAGGCCTCGAACCTGCAAGAGCGGCGTACGGAGTGGTCGCGGTCAAGAAAGCTTTGGTCTGGAACTGTTCGGACTTTGGTTGGTTGAGCTAACGCTCCGCCAACAGGCACAGAACCCGATGATGGCTCACCTGGCTCATCTTCGGATGGCGAGTAGTCTAACTCGTCATTTTCTGGTGCTGGTGGCGTTGTAGACGGCCCTGGAGGGGGAGGAGGCAGACCTTCAAGAAGTCTGTCTGCGGCTCGCTCAACGGCTTCGTCGAAGGAGGGGTCTGGCGCCGAAACCTTCTCAGCCTCTACCTCTACAGGTGCTTTGTCGGAGACACGAGCGCTTGCTATTTTGTCAGCACGCACTAACCCGTCGAAGCGAACTTTGCAAACAGGGGTGTGCACCTTAGAGTCGAACTTGCAGGCTTTGCAACCCGGGGTTGGGCCATACTTGATGAGCCTGTCTAAGGTGATTTTACTCGTGCCTGGTGGAAGGCTTGGCGTCTACAGCTAAGGGCGAAAACGGAATTACTAAACCCTTAATGTCTTCAAACTTAGGTTCTGCAAAACCCTCTAGCGCCTTTTCGAAGGCAGCACGCATTGGGAGTACGGGCTCGCCTTCTGGAACGTGAAGTTCTTCAAGTGGGACAGAAATCGCAAGGGCTGCAGCAGCATCGTCTTTGACACGCTTGTAGTCTAGGACTAAGTACACGCCCTCTGTCTAGGCGCCATCCGGCAAACAGGCCGGGAGCAGAAGGATCGAACTTTCCCCTATGTGCTGGGTCGGTCCGATAGAAGACTAGCTGGCCTAACAACAGTTGACGACCGTCAAACTCTGAACCAACGGCAGCGACGTAGCGAGTGTGTTCTGCGTCCCTGAGCTTGTGCCTGAGGTTTAGCACAAAAGCGGCGTACACACAGCTGTGAGGCCACAGCCCAGGTCTGATCTGGAAACCAGACTGCAGGTGAACTGCTCTAGCTACCTCTTCTAAGGTCCGTATGTCTCTTTCTAAGACACTGTTGTGTGGCCAACGGTTTGCAAGGGTAGGCTCGCTCACCCAACCTAACTGCTGGCAAGCGGCTTCGAGCTCCTTTGCATTGTCACTCTTGAACATGATCATCGGCTTCTTAACGTGCTTGCCAATGAACTGCAGCAATCCCTTAACAACGTTCTCTGTGGTGCGCTGCGTTAACGGGAAAGCTCTCAAGTAACCAGAAAACTCGTCCCTTACAACTAGTACTGTGGATTCAGCAGCAAAGCTAGAGGAAACTCCGACCTCACTACCGTCCTTAGCCTTTGGCTTGCTTTTCACAACTATTATCACATCTGCAGCGACGCGTTCTCCAAACTCTTCAACTTCAGGGAGCGCGCCGCGATCGCTTAGAGGATCGTGCCGAAGCTTCTCAACCTTCTTGCGGTACATGCGGGATTGTGCGCAGATGTGACAAGCTGGGTTCTTAGGGAAATGTGCTAAGCGATGCTCTAAAGAGGCAGCTTCGCGTACAAGGCGCACGTCTTTGGACAATGGCTCCTCTCCAGCATCAGAGTCTGCTTCTGAACTTCCCCTTCTGGGGGCGCTCGACCAGGAGGCTCTGCGGGGCCCTCGCCGGGAGCTGGCACAGGAGACGGAGGTGGAGAAGGAGCGCTTGCCTTAACGGGCGGCGCATGTGCAGCAACAGCAAAAGAAACCTGTTCCTTGAAAATGGGCACATTCCCTTCAACACGGTCTGCAAACAAAGCCCCACTAAGGTCTGCTTGCACGTGGTCACTGGTTTTGAGAAAGCAGGGCAATTGGCCGGGAAGCCACAGAAATGGCAACTGACCACCGTTTACTAACTCACCCATAGACCTTACTACAGGACAATCGTTCATGAGGTATGCTGTGTTTCGGCCGAAGTCTTGGCCCTCACATGTCAAAACCTCGTGCGATGTGACAACGCCATTGCCTGTGGAGAACTGGATGGGTTGATCTGCCTGCGAAGCTTGAAGGCCCACATCAGGCGGAATCCCTTGACGCTCAAGTGCTTTGAGAGACGTCAGGTTTCGACCAGCTCCGGAATCTGCAATCCACTCGAGCTGAAAGGGTCCTGGTTGATACCCTGGCAATGCTACCTCTGTAGCCTTTGGCAAAACAGCAGGCATTGCAGTCGAACTAAGAACAGTAAACCAACCCGAAAACCACTTAAAGAATGCCTTCAACCCACTACGCGCGAGGAAAGTGGATTCGGCACCTTTGAGGTTAGACACGTTAGCCTTCAAACTTGTGATATCAGGGCAAGCTTGCTCCAGATCCGGCATGGGATTTGAGACTGGCGCAGTAGGTGGCACAAGTGGTTGGGGTAACCCCTGGCCACACACGGAGGCTGTGTCGGTGACAGAAGTGGCATTGGCACCTGGCAGGACATACGCAACAGTCGCAGTGGCTGCTGCGGCAGCGGGCGCACTCGAAGACTTTGACTTCGGCGCGTTGGCTGTGTCATGCGAGTACGGGCAATCTTTGCCGCGGTTGCAAGTGCCTTTTGGCCAAAACAAACACGGTGCTTTGGCACTGGACTCCTTTGGAGTTGGTCCCTTCGGGGGCGCTTTCGGAGGGGGGCCTTTGCCCCCAGGAGGTTTACCCCCCTGACCTTTGGCACCACCTTTGCCACCGCCTTTGGCGTCACCTTTCCCTGGGCCTTTGGCCTTTGGGTTCTTTGTTCTCCCGGGCCCCTTTGGGTTAGCGTTTGGCTTACCGGGGAGAGCAATGGAAGGGTCTTCGGTTGCGGCCGCGGCTTCTCCACCTTTGTTGGACGCAACGGCTGCTTTGGCTCTTGCTCTTTTCTCTTTCTCCTTTTGGGCTTTGGCTTTGTCATCCTGTGACTTGGGGGTTGTGCCAAGGGACTCCCTGATGGATGTCTCGTTGGCGTCTTCACGCATCTCTGCAATGGTTTGTTTGAGTTTCCCAAACAACCACTCCCACGTACGCACATGTGAACCGTCACTGGCATCTTTGATGCGATCAATGTGCCGCTGTATCAACCTACATCGCTTTAATCGTGAAAACAACCATGTAAATCGAGTTTGCTCCGACGGCTGGAGGTCGGGCGGAATGGCATTGAGAATGTATTCTACCCTATTCACAAAGGCTAGTAGGCTTTGATACGTAAATGACTCGAGCGGTAGCTCAAGGAGTGCTTGTTCGGTTAGGTTAGCACCTCGCCGAAGCTCAAGAAAGTAGCGTCTAGCTACCATTTGAAGGAGAACCCTACCCTTCGGTGCCGTGTAGGCAAGTTGACAACCCTCTATGTAGGATTGGAACTGAATGCCAAGTTCGCTCGACATATGTTTGGGATCGGCTAGCAAACTGGCGACGTGAGCATCGAGCCGTGGGAGATTTCCGGGATCCGACAAGTCAGCAGGGTTTGTTACCTCAAACGCTGGCATGATCCAATGCAACAATGTGTCTCGGCCAGTGCGGTCGATAGAACACAGTTTCGTGATGAACGAGTTTCGCCAACTACGGAAATGAGCCGCATCACGAGGCAACGCATCAATCTTAATGAGGGACAAGTCTTTGTACTTGTATACATCACCCTCATCAAACACAATGGCCGAACCAATCCCAAAGCTTCTCCTACTGTGCACGGAGCCGTGAGGCGTAGAGCCTGGTGAACCACCTGGGGGCCCACCACCACCGCGAGGTGTTTGGGAACCTGAGGATGAAGAGGAGGGATGGCCATGTGATGGAGACACGTGCTGAGGTGAAGGATCTTGGCGAATGGAGGTCGCAATGGGCAATGCTGGCGGCTGCTGACTGGGATGAGCTGCACTGGTGCCTGGAGGCGGAATGCCGGCGCAGGCTGAAGCAAATGAATGTGCGGGAGAAGGGGCATGAGACGGGACATTCGAACCTGCATGGCGTAGTCCCTGGGCAGGAGGAGAGCGTGCTGCAACATTAGCCCTGACGGCATGAAGCACAAATGCAAGTTGCAAGTAACCCAAGCCCAATCAATCAACTGAAGCCGTACCCGTCTTGGTTTTCGGGCAACAGGAGATAGGGCAACAATCGGAGTCTCGAATGAAGTGTTAAAGACAGTAGGGCAGGGACCGTTTACTGTCAAGGGGTGAGCAGGGCAGGTCCGTTTACTCACAGCGAACAGGGCAACTCCGTTTATTCGCTACTGGGCAAGAGCAGGGCAATCCCGTTTACTCGAAACCCGAATCCCAAACAACCACAAGGCCTAGCCACCCTTGACCGTGAACGGGTCTTAGGAGAGGTTGTTGGGGGATATGTGGGAAGGAGGCTTTGCGCCCACACGACCCAAAACACTGAAAGTGCAAGCAATGGCAGTGTCTCCTCGACGCCGCGGCGGAGAAGACGATCCTGTACCTCACGGAGGATAGTGGGGCACAAGTGTTGTGATGCTTGCTAAGAATTCGGGGGTTCGGGGAAGGCGACCGGTTGCGCGGAAGAGGAAGAACAAATGCTGCTCCCTAACCCACTTCTGCAAGATGTTGCGTCTTAACCGGTTCCACCTGACCTTTACGCGAGCAGCCCGTCTACGCGATTCAAGGTAGGCTGGGGCTACGGCCCAGGAGTGTGTTAAGAAATTTTATTAATTAAGAAATCTGGACCTGGACCGGCCACACATTTTAAAATCCAGGGCCTCGCGGGCTCGCCCCAAAAAATTCCGCCGAGGAAGTATTAAGTAACGTTCTCTGTCATATTTACCAAGAACCCAAGAAACTGCAAGCTTCTGGGAAGAGGCCCGGCACAAAAAGTCACCTTTTTTGAGGTGCTTGGGGCCGGAAAGGCCCAAAAAAGGTGACTTTTTGTGTCGGGCTCTTGTGGGGAAGAGGCCCGGCACAAAAAGTCACCTTTTTTGAGGTGCTTGGGGCCGGAAAGGCCCAAAAAAGGTGACTTTTTGTGCCGGGCTCTTGCGGGGACGCCGGGCTCTTGCGGGGAAGCCTTTCAGGGCTCAGGGCTCAGGGCTCAGGGCTCAGGGCTCAGGGCTCAGGGCTCAGGGCCCGGGCCAAGCCCAAAGTCGGAGCTTCAAGCTTGAATTTGGATATTCAGTTTATTTGCCATATGAGAGGCAGAGACTAAGTGGCCTAACGGTAAAGCACTTGTGCTTCTGACCCGAGCCCCGGGTTCGAACCCCGCGGGGTGCATTGTCAGGATGGGCCTTAAAAAACGCCTCCAAGGCCTTTAATTTGAGGAGCTATCGGCGGTCGATTTCTTCCCTTCGTCCGCGTCCCCCTTTACCCAAGCCCACGCGCTAATTTGCACACATTGCGAGGATTCGCTTTACATCAAGACCGCTGACAACTCACTATCATCTCACATCTTAATGTGCAGGATGATATATCACGCTATGTGATGCTACGTCTTGCCATTTCCTTTTTCGTCAGGGCTTAGGGCTTAGGGGAAGAGGCCCGGCACAAGAAGTCACCTTTTTTGAGGTGTTTCAGGCCGAAAGGCCCAAAAAAGGTGACTTTTTGTGCCGGCCTCTTGCGGGGAAGAGGCCCGGCACAAAAAGTCACCTTTTTTGAGGCGCTTGGGGCCGGAAAGGCCCAAAAAAGGTGACTTTTTGTGCCGGGCTCTTGGAACCACCTTTTTTGAGGTGTGTGAGGCCAGAAGGTGACTTTTTGTGCCGGGCTCATGCGGGGAAGAGGCCCGGCACAAAAAGTCACCTTTTTTGAGGTGCTTGGGGCCGGAAAGGCCCAAAAAATGTGACTTTTTGTGCCGGGCTCTTGCGGGGATGCCGGGCTCTTGCGGGGAAGCCTTTAAGGGCTCAGGGCTCAGGGCTCAGGGCTCAGGGCTTAGGGCTTAGGGGAAGAGGCCCGGCACAAAAAGTCACCTTTTTTGAGGTGTTTCAGGCCGGAAAGGCCCAAAAAAGGTGACTTTTTGTGCCGGGCCTCTTCCCCGCGTTTAGGGCTTAGGGTTTAGGGTTTAGGGTGTAGGGTTTAGGGTTTAGGGTTTAGAGCTTAGAGCACACCGAAAGGCTCTACACTGGTGAGTTACATGTTCCCCAACTCTGTCCCTATACTCACCTCTAATCAACCCTCGAATAAGAAATATATTTCAGGGTCTGGTTCAAACCTAACTTTCTTATTTCCATTTGGGGTTTTAAGAAATTTCGAAACCCTGGCTGAAAAAGGCAGATTTCTTATTAGAAGCCTCAGCCGTATGCGCTTGAGGATGCACAATCTAGTTTCGTAATAGCAGTCCAACAATAAGTCCCAAATGCGTTCAGAACAAGTTGGCTCTGCTTCAACTGTGTGCTGCGTGTTGATGCGGGGAATCCTGGAGGCGGCAACGCCCGCACAGGAACGGATATGGAATGCAAGTTATGAGGATATGGAAAGGCAGTACTCAACCCTGGTGCTTGGCTCAGGCACTCAAGGGAGTAACAGTGCAGGGTACCTTACAAGTGGCTAAAAAAAAACCCTCGACCAACCAACTGCGGCTGATCACGATATGAAGCTCGACCCGTAGGGAGCACACACGAATATGGCTCGCAAGTGGCTCTAGACTCACTTACGAACCGCGATGCTAGTTACAGCTTAAGCTGAGGCTGTTAACCAGTTGTTTGATGGGATATACCGCACAAACAGTAAACAAGGCAAACAGAGTGAAGACGTACTGTTTTACCTTGAGCCAAATAGTCAAGTCGGGTTTACAACATGACTCTCCAGATACTGTACAGGAGGGTGTGTTTACCTCTGTTTTCTCAACTACCCCAAACCCTAAACCCTAACCCTAAACCCTAAACCCTAAACCGCAGGTAGTAAACCCCCCTTCACTTCACAAGCGAGCAGGGGCACGGGCGACCTGCTTTTCTTGCCGGCTCAAAGAGTGCCCCTAAAACCCCATGGATGCGGGTTTTGGGTTGGAGGTTCAAGGTTGAGGGTTTACGGTGGAGGGTTTAGGGTTGAGGGTTTAGGGTTTAGGTTTGAGGGTGTAGGGTTTAGGGTTCAGGGTTTAGGGTTTACTTAGAGTTTAGGGTTTAGGGTATGGTGTTTCCAGGGATGAAGGACTTCAACGGTGATGTTTTTGCAACTCTAACTACCAGGATGACCCGGGATGACAACCACGCCTCGTAATGGTAATGGTGATGGTGCAACTGGCACTGAAACTTCTTACTGCAGGCCTATGTTCGATGAGTCACAATCTCATCAGTCTTAGTCATGCAGGGCTTCGGCTTCAGGGTTAACGCTTGAAAGTTCAGGGGCCGAAAGCCTAAACCTTACGTAGCCCTAAAGCCGAAGCGCTACCTAAGCCTAACCCAAAACCCCAAGCACCAAACCCTAAACTCTAAATCTGAAAACCCTAAGCCCTAAAGTTCTAGTAAGGGGTGGTGGAGGAACTCTGGGCCTATGGCGGGCGTCCTTGTCACGCCTACGCACTCGAATTTTGCTGCAGGGGAGCTCTGCTACGCAGGCTGGGTCTCTCAGAGTGTCTTGGGTTTAGGGTTTAGGGTTTAGGGTTCAGGGTTTAGGACTTAGGGTTTAGGATTTAGCGTTTAGGGTTTAGGCTTTAGGTTTTAGGGGTAAGGGTTTAGGGTTTAAGGCAGGGCGTCTCTCAGGCATGAGAGGGAGGGGGGGGTTTAAGGTATTAAGGCTTTTATAGGGCTGAGGCCATAACGTGTAGCGCCCAGCTCAGCATTCTTGAGGTTTAGGGTGTAAGGCTCGCAGCGAAGTGCCTTAGAGTTTAAGCGATTGAGGTATAGGAACAACTAGACCCAAGAGTAACCTAGGAATAAAAGCTGTGCCCTTGCTGGGCTTAGCTTCTAAAGGACCATTAGAAGGCGACCCCTAATATTTAGGGTACTGAAAAAAAAGGGGAGCCTCATATTGAAAGTCACCAGATAATATACCCTAAACCCTATATAACAGAACCAAATACACTTGGTAGCCCACGAACCATCTTATAA